GTAATCGGAAAGAAGGCGAGGCGTGCGTAGGAGAGAAACCTCACCACTTTCCCGCTCTGTTGAGGCGCTGGTACAAACCGCTGGCGCATCGCTCGTACCCCGTTATTCACTGAATTTGCGAAGTCTGTTATCCGCTTAAATAGACAACGTGGTCGTTGAAGGCCTCCACAGGGCGTATTCCAAGGCAAGCCGCGTTTCCCGGAACGATTATCTGCATATTGTAATGACGTATGTATGGGCACCACGGATCTCTTTCACTGAGGGTCTTATCTTACTGAAAGATGTCTAGCCGGTTAGTGGCGAGGCTACGTACGCGACCCAATATGGCGGATAGGGGATGATCGCGGACCAAGAGCCACCATGTGCTTGCCCTGAGCGCGGGCCGATTCAAGGGATGGACTTCCTGTCTCTGCAGTGCTGTGTCCATTCATGCCAGCCGTCTCCAGTAAGGTGCATACATGTATGCTTGCGTGGTGCGGTGGGTATCCTGCATGTCGGGACAGTCAAAAGCTTGTATTGAAGAGACTGGGAAGTACATAGGAGGCGATCCGGAGTCTCCTCCAAAATCAAAGTCCCTTGTTCCGCTCCGGGATAGCGTGGCTAACTACCTGGAGCTCTATTCTAGCCCCCACGACAGAGCCTGGCAAGCTACACATGAGCCTTCAACATACCGATAACAGCACCATGAGTGGGCCTCACCCCCCTGAACCCGAGGGATCCCCTAATAGGGCAGCGTTGAGACCGCTCGGAGGAGGTTTCTAGAATTTCAGGGCCCGGATAGGGTGCCTAAACGTGGAAGGACTGAGTTGACCATCTGTGGTTTCAACGAACGCTTGCATCCGAAGCTCACATTGAAGACTGATGATGTAAGCCAGGAAGATCTAGTGCGACGTCATCGGACTGACGAAGACGGGAAGGCACGGCCCGCTGCACGCCGTTTTCGATACTGGAGAAGAATCGTTCCTGAAAACATGCGACAGCACGGGTGTTAACGGTGTGGGTGTCCTCGTCAATACTTGGCCATAAACACCGATTCGTACGAAAGCCTGACCACCTGAGTCTTACGTTTGAGATTGAAAAGATGTGGATAAACTCCTGTTCGACAGTCTTCGTCGTCTACGCCCCAACACAGCTACGACGGAGAAGAACGCGACGCGTTTTATGTGGAAGTGGAGAAGTTTCTCAGGGAATCACATCTTTTTTGAGGTCGTCGTTGCAGAATTCAACACTAAGATAGGCCCAAGAAGAACGCCTGAAGAATTCCACATGGGCGAAAGACTGTCCGAGTTCATCATGTCAACCAACACCATCTATGGTAACACACAGTCCAAAAAGCTCTTTTACCCACGTTGGACTTGGGAGTCACCTGATGGACATTTCCATGAAGAGATAAACCACATAATCATGTTGAGAAAGCCACAGAGTTCAGGTAGCGAAGCCCTGGGACACTCATCAACCGGGATCACTTCACTTTTTTTGTCAACTCATGAGAGGATTCCGTTATCGAAAACATCGATGAGGAGTATCATCGGCTCGTTGAATACCTTCATGAGAGTGGCAGGAAGGCAGACACTTGAAAGTCACCAAGGAACGTCTATCTCCGGGAACTCTCGAGCTGATACCCCAACGTGGAGCCGCGCGAGTTGCAGGCAATCACTAACTCACGTCCTAGCTTGCGAAGCTATGCAGAGAGGCTATAAAGGAAGATCCCAAGGAGCGGAGAGCAGCAATACCAGCTGAAGCAGCAGAGGCTGGGAGGAGGATCCGCAATGCCTGCCGAATCCTTGCCAGCTATAAGACCAAGATGACCTTCCTTCGACACCCGGATGAAATGGCTACGTTATCCCAAAGAGCAATAGAGGAAGTTATCCACGACTTCTACTCGGATCTCTCCAATAGCCATGTCGAGTGCTTACTTATCATCTACCACAAGATAGACACGTCGTCTATTTCAAATTCCGACACGCCATCGAGTATGTGAAGAATCGTACAGCACCCGGTCTCGACAGGGTTACACCGAACCATCTTAAGAATGCGCCGCCAGTTATCATCGGAGCTCTGGCTTGAATCTTCATGCGTTACTTGTCGCAGAGCAGGACTGTGTTGCGTACAAGGAAGAGGACTTGGGCGACATTGGCAATTATCGCGCAATCTGCGTGCTGCCTGTAATCTATCAACTACTGACTTGAGTGGTCCTTAACATGATTGGCAGAAAATTCGATAAGGACAACCATGTGAGCAAGCAGGGTTTGGAAGAGGGTTTAGCACGACGACCGTATCCACACAGTTAAGAGACTCATTGTAGTCTTACGAGAGTGATGCCGCTTTGCCTCACTTTCATCGACTTGAAGAAGGCTTTCTACTCTGTGGAGACAGAACGGTCGTTGAAGCCTCGGGCAACCAGCGCATCCCTACTCAGTACATAAGAATTCTTCGTGAGCTCTGCAACATCTTACGACCAGAATCTCACCATTCTACAAGGAGGTCATCATCGACGTCAAGAGAGGGTTCAACAGGGCGGCACGATCTCGCCCACCCCTTCAGCACCGCTCTCGGAAACGTCATGCGTCTGTGAAATGGGAAGCCGTGGGAGTGAAGATCGACGATCGGCAACTATGCCACCTTCGTTTTGCGATGACGACGTTCTTATAACGCCGAACATCGAGCAAGCGGAGCGAATGCTGGCTGAATCCGACTGTGCATGTGGTAAGGTCGGTCTGCAGCTAAATCTAGCGATGAAGATGTTCATAAGAAACGGACTGGCTCCGGAATGGATTCACGCTCAACCTCCGAATGTCCCGCTACGAGTACCTCGGTCCGAAAATCAACATGATGAACGACTTAGTTCCATAGCTGAGCAGGAGGGAAGAGCGACATGGGAGTGTACAAGAACATCGAGGGAGTAGTGAGGGAGACGAAGAACATTCGACTCCTTGCCCAACTCTTCGATTTCGCAGTCCTTCCTGCTCAGCCTACGCCTCAGAGACTTGCACTCTGCACAGATGGGATGAGACGGTTAGCGCTATTATCCAATGCGCCGTCCAGTAATCCTATGTACGCAAGTCAACGTCCTTATCATTGATGACGCATAGTGTAAGGACGTGAATTTGTCGTCAGCCTGCTTGATTCTTCTGATACATGGTGTTCAGTACATGAGTTTTTTGATCTCTCAAAACCTTTTGTTTCTCATGATTTTCTTTATACTATTTATCCTTCCCGTCCCACTGTTCAAAAACTACGCCGGACTTCGATCAAAATTGGTCCATAACTAAGGATTTGGCTAGGACGTTGTTTCCGAGTGTATCAATCCTAACTGGAACAACATCAGTTCTGTGTGAAAATTTGTAGCGTCCAAGCCACAGGTGCCGGCGTTATCACAACAGCTTTGCGCCGGCGCCCGTAGGGTTACAGGCTCACTCTCAACGAATCAATGAGACAATCATATTCAACGGGTCTAATTTCTCTAGAATGCAAACTTCCGCCAAATTTGGCAATCCAAGGCGTTCTGACGACCTTTGGCGCCGACGCCAGTTTCGCGGGCGCTAGACGTTTTCGCGTTAAACGTGATAATCGTGTTCTACACGTCAAACTGTTCCCGTGGGCAACTTTCTAGCCAAATTCACAGTCATGAACAAACTTCGATAAAAATCCGGCTTAGTTTTTGTGGGTGGGGCAGTAAGCGGTGTCGTGACTTCCCAGTCAAGATATGGACTGG